CAAACCTTCCATGTGACCATTCAACTGCCTCCTATCAAATTTATATCATCGCTGGCCTCGTTCGTTCCTTCTCTTGTTTCGATATGGGTTGAGAGTGCATTAAAATTTAAAATTAAATTAAAACACATTCACACATAGAAAGAGAGAGAGAGAGAAAGAGATTGAAAGGATGAGAGAGAAAGAGAGAGGGGGGGGAAATACATCTAGATCACGTGCAGATCAAATCACGTGCCAGGCGGATTGATAATAAGGAGAATATCGTTAAGTTGAGAAGAATGCACGGATTGTTTCCTATGCTTTATTTCTTTGCACGCCAACCATTGATGCTCGCTCTGTCTGTTTGTGTGCGTGTGTGTCTTCAAATCTATTACGTTATTCTTTTAAATTGCTATATACATCTACCCATACATACATACATACAATATATATATACAATATATATAGAGAGAGAGTGAGAGAGAGAGAGAGAGAGCTGGGAGAGAGGGATGCAGGAAGATTATAATAGTAAATAAATCAACATTCACATAGATTAATGTTGTTAACTCTTATACACACACACACACGCACATATATATACATATATATATACGTATATTTTGGGTTTAGACTATCATAAATACAATTATTTATAAAGATCACTGCGTTTTTAGCAGTGATCTTTATAAATAATTGTATGTATATATATATATATATATATATATATATATATATATATATATATATATATATATATACGGTTTTGGTTGGTTGAAGCAAATGAATTAAGGCCAGTTCGCGGTCAACTTATAATTTGTTATTTAATGGCTGACTTTAATTCGAAAGTGCTTAACAATCCCCGTACTGCCTGCAACAAATGTTCATTGTTGGATTGTTGTTGGCGATGATGATGATGGTGGGGGTGGTGATGATAATTGTAAATATGATGGTGGTGGTGGTGATGATAATGATGATGGTGGTGTTGTTGTTGTTGTTGCTGCGCTATTTATTATTGATGTGTTGGTCATCATTGTTGCTGTTTTTTAATGGTCATTGTTGTTGTTTCCATTGTTGACTCCTATAAATATGCTGGCTGGTCAAGCGCTATGTATGTTTCTTTTGTAAAGGCATTACTTATATGCAATGTGCATTCAAACATTCAAACATATGTATATACATATAAGTTCATGTATGTTATATATATAATGTATATACAGGTATATATATGTATTATATACATACATATGCATTTGTATGTATGAATATATATTCATGTACAATGTATGCATGCATTCTTTATGTGATGATGGCTTTTTTGGTTTATGTGTAATTGTTTTTATGTATTTGCTGATAAAGTTACAATATGTATATGTTGTATATATGTTTCATTTACATACGTATGTTTATATATATACTTATGTGTTGTGTGTATGTGTACATATGTTGCATTTGTGTATGTATGTAATGTATGTACACTACATACATGATAATGTATACATTTGTATGTATAAGTGTGCGTTCGTATGTTATATGTTTACGTATTAGCGTTCATTTATAAACATTTTCCCCTCTCTTTTACATCACTCTCATCCCATGAGCATCGTTAAAAATATTGCTCGATTCCTTCATTGTGACGTCATGACCCACAAAAAGGCACGTGATCAATGTTTCAATTTCTTCAATTGCTGACCTATTTTCCACTTCCGATTGACCTCTTTATTGGCGGCACCTCTTTGGACCTCTCTGGCTGCTTCTCATCTTTTTATCTAATTGCTCTTCGTCCTGGTCACTTTTGTTGTTAGTGTTGTTGTTGATGTTGTTGTTGTTATCGTTATTGTTATAATTTATCGTTATTTTTAGTGGTGTTGTTTTTATTATTTTTGTTGTTTTCTAAGTTATTGATGCGTTTATTAATAAGAAATGACGTCGATGAAGACGACGACGATGATATGTAGTTGATTTCTTGGCTGATTAAAAGGTGGATGTTATTGTTGGTTTGGTTTTTTTTGTTGTTGCTGTTATTTTTATTATTATTGTTGTTGTTGTTGTTGTTTTTGCCTACTAAATGTGCGGTCAGTTGTTGCTTTGTTGTGTCGACAATGTGTGAATTCTTTTATTCATACATGTTTGTATGGTGTGCATTTGTGTGTGTGTGTCTGGGTGTGTGTTTGTGTCTGTCTATCTGTGTATGTGTGTGTGAGAGAGAAAAAAAGATGCATCTGTGTGATTTTGTGTTAAGAGTGATCTACCGCGATCATTGTTTATTACATTCATGCTTATAATAATTTTCGCCATTTGTTATTTCCTACCCATGGTTTTTATCTTCAATTGTTATGATCAACATCATTTGTTTCTTAGTCATCGTCATCGCCATTTTCATTGGGGTAGTTTCAAATCTTTCCGACTTTGTAATTATCACCATCTCTCATTATGCCACTCACCATCACAGTTGTTAGCACTTTCATGTTTGTAATTATTATCCTTTTATCGCCACCTTTGCTTTCATCATGAAGATCGTTATCAGTAGTAACATTGTTATCATTTCTGTAGTCACTTCGAGTTACTACAGCCGTCAAAATCTGCACATCGTCGTCGTCATCATATCTATCTCTTACGTATCTATCATCATCAGTCACATCATTATAAATCATCTGTATCAACAACAGCAACATTATCATCAACATCATCGTTATAATCATCATCGTCATCGTCATCACCACCATTATGATCATCATCACTATCATCATCATCATCATTATCACCCTCGACATGCATCCGATCATCCTTACCAATAAATCAATGGAACTTTAGTCAGAGGTTATGCTTTGATCTATGCTGGTTGGCTGGCACTCTTTCACTCCTTCACTTGTTCATTCATTCACTCTTTCACTTGTTCATTCATGCACTCTTTCACTTGTTCATTCATTCACTTTTTCACTTGTTTATTTGTTTTTTACAAGTTTTGTTCTTTCACTTCTTATTTATTCATTTTTCACTCGTTCTTTTCGTACTCTTTCATTTATTTTTTATTTCTTCATTCTTTAATTTTTTTTCCACCCTTTTATTCAGTTATTAATTTGTCATCTTTTAAATTGCGTTACTAACTTTAAGTTAGTTCTTTATAACTTATTCTATATCTTTTTGTATATTTACTATACTTTTAGATTGAACTTTTACTATAAATTTTGTGTTTTGTGCTAGTCAAGTACAAATTTGTTTGAATCAGTTGAATTTTTTGATGAATTTTTTAATAAACCCAATCAATCAATCGATCATTCAATCAGCCGATTGATCGATTTATCAATCAATCAATCAACCAATCAATCAATCAATCAACCAACTTACTGATTTAATTAGTACAAAATAAAGACAAAAATGATTGAGTTTAATGATGAAATTGCTCAATCAATCATTTAATCAATCAATCAACCAATCAATCAATCATTCAGTCAGTAAAAATCCAATCGATCACTTGTTCGTTCAATCAGTCAATCAAGGAGTTGATTGCTTGTTTGATGCACTGCCAATGAAGATAAATCATTGTTGTTATTTATGAGAGTTAATGCACTGTTTTATTCATTCCACTCATTGTGTCTATTTTTTCGTTTGTTCATTCATTCATTCATTCATTCATTCATTCATACATTCATTCATTCATTCATTATTCATTTACTCATTCATTCATTCATCTATTCATTCATTCATTCAAACAATCAATCAATCATTCATTCAATCAATCATTGTTTACGCAAAACTAAATTTTTATATTTATCCAATTAACTAATTAATTAACTAATTAATTAATACATTTGTAAATTTGTACATTTAATCATCCGTTCATTCATTTTTAAACTAATTTATTTAATATTTTAATCGTCAAACTGTTTTTCTTACTGTTTCTTATTGTTAATAAATATTATTAATATTATTTAATTTGAAAAGTTGAGCTAATCAACTTATCAACTGATTTAAGTCATTTACGGATAGATTAAACCACCAAACTGTGCGGTTGATTGATTGGTTGGTTGGTTGATCGATCGATCGATCGATCGATCGATTGATTGATTGATTGATTGATTGATTGATTGATTGATTGATTGATTGAGAACCAGATTAAATAACCAATTAGTTATATGCTTGATTTAATGATCAGTTGATTGATTGTATGATTGAGTAGAAGTGCGACTGACTGACTGACTGATATGATTGATGTGACTGATGTGATTAATAACTTTTGATGGTCAAGCAACTGGAAAAATGTTTTTAATTTTTTTTTTTTGAAAATTTTTATGGCTGCTTGCAACAACGTTGAATCGTGAAATATTGACGTCACTGAAGCTGAAAATCATTATAAGTTTTTAGTTGAATTTTTGGAAAATTAATTTTCATCACATTCACACACACACACACATTCACTCACATTCACACACACACACACACACACACACACACACACACACACACATAAACACACACACTCACAGACAGGCGAGCGTACACATCTATACACGTGCGTTAAAATAGGAATGACCTGCAATGAATTGTTAAATGGTCAATTTATATTTCAACTGCATATATATACTGGATGGAAGGTTGCAGTCCTGGCAGATGCTGCTGCAGATGAAATGGCGATGATAAAAGCGATAAGGATGATGACGACGATGATGTTAGTTGTGATAAGGAGAGTATCAAACAACGTTATTATTATTTTGTTACAGATATAATATTTTTTTTGCTATGGTTAAAATGTTTTCAATTCATTGCATTCCAACTAGTATTGTAGATAATAACTTAGAAACGTTATTCATGTAGGACAGATCCGTGCAGTTTCATGTCTTGATGAAAAGAAAGTTTATTGAAACACTTAAGAATACGCCACAGTTCAGTTTCAACATTCAGCGCGAACTTTTAAACAGACTCAAAAGAGCTTTTTATTTAACAATTAATCTTATGTTACTTGGGAAAGTTTGTGAAATATAAATTTTGTAGTCTTCGGATATGTTAGCCACACAGGCATAACAAATTTATCTACAGACACACAACACATACACACAGGTATGCGTGCACATACACGCGCACACACAAACACACACGAAATGAAGATAAATTGATGATTTGTTAGTATGGATCGCATAATGGAGCTTCATGAACATCAACATCATTTGGACGCTGGCATATCGGTCACCAACAAAAGACACACCACGCACACACACACACACGCACACACACATACACTACAACTTGTTATGATTAATTTGTTCAATGCACACATGATTAATAAAACAAGTCACTGTGACACTTATCATGGTGCCTTTGCTATTGTTGTGTTCGCCTGTGTTGAATTTTGTATGTGTGTGTGTAATTTTGTTTGTGTATGTGTGTACGTGTGTATTTGTATGTGTCGTTATTTTTTTTGTTTTGTGCTGTCGTTGTCGTAGCCCTTGTCACCGCAGTTGATATTTATATATCATTTTACTGTTGCATTTTGACTATTCATTGACATTAAATTACAATAACATTAATACCGATTATTAAACGCAACATTAACAACAACAGCAATAAAGCAATAATAACAGCAACGATGTAAGTAAAGAACAATTTGATATGATCAAGCGATGTTTGCCGGATGATGAGTTGATGTTAGGTGGTCGTTGCTTATAAGTTATACGTTTTGTCGATGGAGATGGTGATGTTGTGCTGTTAACGTTTTTGTGGTAATTATTTTCAAGTCCACACGAGCAATTAACGCACTCACACGTGCATCACGCACTCACTCACACACACACACACACACACACATATATATATATATAGAAAGAGAGAGAGAGAGAAAGACACGCCCACTTAGAGATAGTTATAGGTTGACTGTTCAACAAGATTGATGGTCAGCCACGAACAAGAGAACAAAAGACAATGGAAGACGATAAGCACGAGAAGAGAAGGACACCTGCCGAGTGTACCGTCCTGCAAACATTCCGACTTTTAGTTGACCCCAAGATGACCTGGTCAAATTATTGGAAAGAACATTTCTTTAAGTTTTACCTTCCGTGATGACGAAGTTTAGGAGAGGGTTTGTTGCTCGTTGTTGTCGTCGTTCCTGGTGTTTCTGAAATTAAGATATATAATCAACAAAATTGAAAATGGAATAAACAAAAAGTTGAAATAAATGAAAACAATCAAAGCAAAAGTTCGATACAGTCAATTGAACATTCTGACGACAATGAAGCATACTTTTAAAAATATCTTACTACCTTACTATTAGGACAAACATACATCACATTGCACAACATTCACATCAACTACAACATCAACAACAACATTTCAAACAACAGCGACCACTACATCTCAACACTTTTCAGATATAAAGACATCAACCAGCATATATATATATATATATATATAATAGTCATTCAGATGCAAGAGCTTGTTGTATGTAACCTGTAACGTATACCGCTGGCAATGTAAATGTGATACACACACGTGCACATAAAATATATACGCACACACACACACACACACATACTCATGCATACACACACATACATGCACACATACACATATGAAGTAGTTGTGATAATTAGAACAAAGACAAATTTGAAATGACTTTTGCTGAACTTTTGCTTTAAGAGATACAGGAGGCTGGTTCTTGTGTGTGTGTGTGTGCGTTTGTGTTGCGTATTGTACATATTTGTATGTATTCGTTATTCATGTATGTGTGTGCGTGCGTGCGTGTGTGTGTGCGTGCGTGCGTGCGTGTGTGTGTGCGTGCGTGCGTGCGTGTGTGTGTGCGTGCGTGTGTGTATGTAGATGAGTGTATGTGTAGATTTGTGCAAGTAAGTATATTTATGTTATAGAGGTTTCAAAGTTATGATGATAATGGCAATTGATTTCTGTTGGACGATGCTGTGTTGTCGTTGGTGTTGTTATTGGCGTGGTTTTTGTCGTTTTTGTTGATGTTGTTGCTGGTATTGTTGTGTTGTTCTTCCTTTTATTTTTTCCTCCTTTTGATTTATTGTTAATGGTTTGTTTAGTTGCTTGATTGGGTTGCAATAATTTTGTATTCCTCCTTCCATACATGTGTGTATGTAGATGTTTATGTATGTTCGTATACAAGCCTATATAAGTATGTACATATATAAACCTACTATATATATACATATATACTATATATATTTGTATATATATATATATATATATATATTTGTATATATATATATATTTGTATATATATATAATATTTGTATATATATATATATATATTATTTTAACTTCAATAAAATAAATAATGACGAAAAGAATTTGGTTAGAAATATTGAAAAATGTAATATAAAACTATACAACGCTAGAAATTCGGTAGATTTCATCAAATAAATACATATAGATGCATATTTGATAAATTATCAATTATATTCTTTTTCCAGACCTATATATATATATATATATAATCGAATTTTAAGTTCATATAATTTTAAGTTTATATAATTTTATTATACAATATCATTTATGCCTTGTTTTATTGCAACATTACCCTACGTAATGTTTTATGGTCATTTTTGGAGTCATGTTACAGCCGTGTCGAACGTCATTATCGACATTATTATTTTATTACTACTAGTAGTAGTAGTAGCAGTAGTTTCAGTAGTAGTAGTCAGTAGTACTGTCACTACTACTAAGTAGTAGTAGTGACAGTAGTAGTAGTGACAGTAGTAGTAGTAGCAGTAATAGTAGCAGCAGCAGCAGTAGTAGAAGTATGTAGAAGAGGTAGGTTGGTGAATAAAAAGGGTTTTGAAGGTATGACAGTATGGAAGAGGGTGCAACTCATGGCCTGCATGACAGTTTGATAAATGAACTTATAACACGTTTGTATCTGTTTGAGCGTGTGGTGCGTTCGTTGCGTGCACGTGTGCGTGTGTTTGTTTGTTGTGTACGTGTGTGTGTGTGTGTATGTTTAGTCTGCTGTTTTATTTATTCCTGTTGTGTGTTTGCTTATATCCGTTTGTGTGTGTGTGAGTCTGTATTGTTGTTTGCTTCTCTGTTAGGAAGTATTGGTTTACATGCTTTTTAGTATTTATGCTTCAGCTCTTTGATGTACACAAGTGTGTGTGTGTGTGTGTGTGTGAATATATTTATGTTTGCTGAATATTTGTGTGTTTAATCGTGTTTCCGTATGCCTGTGATTATTTTTTTTACATTTTTTGAAATTATTGAAAAGTTATTCATTTATAATTGTCTCGTGTGTGTGCTTTTGTTAGCTTTATTATGTGCGTACATGTTTGTGTGTATGTGTGTGTATGTGAGTGTGTGCGAATCTTTGTATCTTTTTAAGTGTGTTTGTATTTGTTTGTGTGACTGTGATTGGAGATGCACAAATGTTTATTGAGTAGTGCCAAATGTTGCTGTTTTGAAAGCATACCTAATGTTTTTCTGATAAGCTGTTGTTTATTTTTTCATATATTTATACGTGTTAATTGAAACTGATGATGTATGTGAAAGATATATTTAATTATGTTCACAAATGTTCATTTTTGTTTGTTTGGAAGTGTTTTCATGTGTTCATGTGTTCGTGCGCATGTTTGCTTATCCTGTTCACATCTGGTAACTTTTATGTTTGCATTTGCATATACATAACTTTCAATGCATAATATGTACGTGTATATATATATGCGTGTTATGTACGCACATTTGTACGCTTACCTCCGTGCTAACATTCTTGTACGCTTATCAAAGTTTACAAGCATGTGTACGTACATCAATGGGCGTACACTGCGGACACATGCTGTGTACAAATGAGGTTTGTTGGCGGGAAACTGAAGAGTGTACACACACACAAATGTATATATATATATATATATATATATATATATATATATATATATATATATATATATATATATTCATATTAAATACATATAAGTATATGTTTGTGTGTATAAATAGTTGTTCCCTTTATAAGTTTTTAAATTTTCTGTCGATATTTGTTCGGTGGTACGTTTCATACAGAAACTTCATCCATCAAAAGTCTTCTGCGCAACTGTTGAGTCTTGGACTGCTCGTTCGTTTGTCTGTTTGGAATGCTTCTAATTCAATTTACCTGTTACAGCAACGTCATAAATTACGAATATTAATTATTTATTTTGTAGTATTTGGCATTTCTGTTGGTTTGATTATTTTATTCGTTGCTGAAACACCGTGACGGTTTTTGACAAACTCTAAATCGTTTTTCATCTGTTCATCAATTTATTTATTGACACATTTACACATCCACTCACTCACTCAATCAATCACTCAGTCACTCAATCAGTCACTCACTCAGTCACTCACTCACTCAATCACTCAATCAATCACTCACTCACTCACTAACTGATAACGATGATGATGTGGGGCCGAGTATACAACTTACGACCATCATATGATTACATGCACCATCCAATTTGGATTCGGTCAGGTTGGTTGGCTGCTGATGATTTCTCCTTACATTTTATTATTATTGTTTTTATTGTTGTTGTTGCTGTTGTTATTGTTGTTGTTTATTGTTTTTATAAAAATAAATATTATTCTTATTATTTATAATATTTATACAATTGAGATGCTTTAACTAATACACGCACGTAAGGCATTTTAACACATACAAATTACGTTGTAATACACACATACACACACACACACACACACACACATTTTTATACAAATTTCAAATGTTTTTAATAAATGCAAAATTATCTGTATATTTTATTACTACATACGTATTTCTGTACACACATACATAACATACTGTATGTATGTATATGTATATATGTATGTATATATATATATATATATATATATATTGTATATTAAACATATGTTGTACGTGTGTATATTGTATATGTATGTTTATTGCATATCAAACATACGATGTACATTAGAGTTGTATTGTATAGGTCATGTTGTATATTCTATACACGTTGTGTGTATACTATTTCACTATTTCAAATCTTCTACTTCATTTTTCATCACTTTTACACACACACACACACACACACAGACGGAATGTAAATTTGGGCACGCAAAAACACACACACACACACACAGATAGATAGACAGACAAACACGCAGACAGACATACACACATACATACACACAGACATAATGTAAACTTGCGCACGTATGTACAAATACACACACACACGCACAGACAGAGAAATGAAAGCCTTTTATAAACGGGGCAATTATTCTAACAGTAAATCAGTGGTACCGTGGTGATAACGCTGAAATAAAAGGTAATAATTTCATTATATAACCATCAACAAGATGTTCATTAAAATGGGTAGTTAACTATCAACAACTCACAACAGCTCACGCTTGGAAATTTCTCTCTTGTTCCCAGTTAATCTTTCTCATATATTTGTGCCGTATATGTGCTAATACATCTCTAACATTCTACATGTTATTTCATATTTATATATGATAATCATTGTTAATTTGGTTAAATATATATGAAAAATGTTTGTGTGTGTGTACATGTTTGTGTATGTATGTCTATGAGTGTGTGTGTGTGTGTGTGTGTTTATTATTCAAAATGTCTTGCAGGATAGTGAAATGGTAAAGTTACCTGATCTGGCAGTTTCAGAGGCCAGTTACTAATCCCTGCCCCAACTACATGCAATGCTATGTAGTTACGTTGAGGCATGGGTTTGAGTGTTAAAAATTTAAAAAATATTAACGCTGGTGAAAAAAAGTCATGGCTTGGCGATAATATTCTTATGTTGTGTATTATACACTAACATTTTGTCACCCTTCTTATTAGTTACTTTCTATTATTATTACTATTATTATTATTGTTGTTGTTGTTGTAGTTTTAGTTGTTGTTGTTTTTGTTGTTGTTGTTGTTGTTTCCGCGTTGTCATTCATTTATTATTCTTTGTACCTTCAATACTTCGCGTGAAAAATGAACATTTTTAATTCACAAGGCACTACATTTCAGTTATTAAGCGATAAAAATGAATTAATGGCTATTTAAATAATACGTCGTCGTCATACTCTTCGTCATCGTCAACATTCATCTTCTTCTTCATCATCTTCATCATCTCCGTGATCGTCATTATCATCATAATTTCTCATAAATTACTTAAATTTAGAGTTAGACCTCCTTGAAAACATCGAAATATTTACTTATTTAATTAATTATTTATACTCTCAAATATATACTCCCTATGTTTTGGAAAACTTATAAATATCCATCAGAGTCAACCAAATATATAAATATTGGTTTCATTTGGTCCATTCAAAATTATAACGATAAAAATAAAATGAACGAATGCTGTTGTTTGAGCCAAGTCGACAACATCAACATCCGCAACAACAACAGCAGCAAGAAAAACAACAACAGCAACAACAAAAACAACAACAGCGGCAACAAAAACAGCGGCAGCAACTTCAACAACAACAACAGCAGCAACAAAAACAGCGGCAGCAACTTCAACAACAACAACAGCAGCAACTTCGGCAGCAGCAGCAGTGTCAGCAACAGCCACAACACAAAATAAAGCAATTGAAAAATGAAAAGAGAGGGAGAGAGAGAGAGGGAGAGCATTTGGAAAGATTGGTTAAGTACGTGTAAAAACAGATGTTTCGCTTGAATTATGTTTTAAAATGTTCCACTCTCAAGCCGAGTAAATCAAACATGCAATCCCATATGCTGCAAATAACAGAGACTCACGGAGGAAACAATCACACGTACAATATTTTTTACCCTCACACGCACGCGCACACACATATACACATTCACACGCACACACTACACATGCATATATATATATATATATATACACGCGCACACAAACAGACATATTTATTCAGATATATACATATATATTATCTTCATTCTGCAGCACAATAAAATACTTTCATATGCATAGCCATGCCTTAAGACAGAATGCTATAGGATGAGCAAGAAGATTTGTAAGCATGTGTTTGCATTTGTTTGTCATCGAGCAAATAAATGGATGCGAGCATGTAACATCTAGAGGCAGGCCAAACTTGAACGAGCGCTGAAATGCAAAGGAAGAAAAGCTGACACTAACAAATCAACCAAACCAGCCTAACAAATCAGCCAAACAACTCAACCAAACAAACCAATGTGACCACTGACCAGGCAACCAATCATATAACAAATCAATCAATCCATTAACTTTCTTCATTTTTGTATATGCCTCGTTTTTTTTCAATTTGCACGTCGTATTACACACACATATTTATATATAATTAATTATAATTATAAATACAAAGTTATTGAAACTCAGATTCAGTAGAGCTACCAGTTTGTTTCAGTTATTATTGAATGTGCAAGATGCTTCTTTAAAGTTATGAAGTCACCGACTTTCCACTGGTTTGTGACTTTGTGTTTGCGGTCACAATACTCTGGGGGCTCTTTGTGACTCTTTGTGGCTGCTCTGCTACGTGATGCTGGCACCTGGGTTGGTCACAGTTTTGCCTTCAAAATATTTTTTGGCCAACAAACAAGCGTAGAAACAATAAACACCACAGATCGTCATCATTTCTATGAGTTAATTTCTAATCGCAATAATAAAATTTAATCCTAAGAGCGATAGAAATTATTTTTCAACAGCAATCACATATTTTTATCAGCATACATGTGTTTATATTGATATATATAAGTAAAATTTGTACATGCATGTATTCATCTATATACAGTACATACCTTTTCATATTGTCCATGTGCATACGGATGTGATGTACGTGAATGTACGTGTGTATGCGTGTTTGTACGCTTGTGTGCGCGCGCTTAAGTAGGTACGTGTATGTACGAACGGACGAGCGAGTGAAGGTTTTGATGGACGTCTGCTTATATTTCAAGCATTGTTCTTGTCGATGTGTTAAAGTCGCATTCGAGCCAATGTCACACTTTATTATGCTGTTTGTCAGGAAAAGATGGAGGTGTGCTCTGTGATGTTGTGTGTGCATGTGTTGTCTGTGTATATGTATGTTAAATGTATGTGAGTGTGTGTGTGTGTACATATGTGTACGTGGGTGATTGAATGTAAATATGTGCGTAAGGTGTGCGTACGTGCGTACATGTACGTATGTTTCGTGTATCATGATACAACATCAGATTATGTAATGATACAATACGCATGCAATTTTTGTTACTTTACTTTAAGACTTGTGTTGTATCTTATGTACGTAGCCTAGCATATGGAAGCTTCAATCCGCGTATCAAATGTATCTGTGCATTTGATGTGCAAAGGTAGTATTTCATTACAGATGGCATATTTATGTAGGTATCTTTACAAATACTTGTGTGTATGTGTGTGTGTGTTTGCAAGCGTGCGTGTGTAAGTGCGTGTGTGTGAGGTATTCTTTTGTATTCAATACCTTATGCATGAGATATTATGTTCTGCTCATTGAAGAAATGTTCTTATCATACTTGCGAGACATGATTAACGAAGTTGTTTTGATGTATGAGTACGTGTGCGTACACTTGTATGTGCGTATTTATGTATGTATGTAAGCTTTTATTTGTTTGTTGTGTATGTCTGCTTGCTGGTTCTCATGGCCTTGTGCGTACGTCATATGGAATGTAATGCCCAGAACGATATGATGCATGTGTATCACGTTCTATCATCAATATACTCCACCGCATAGCTCCAAATCGGGTTGATCTTCTTCATGCAAACCCAGTTTATTCAATTTTAATAGCTAGGCCTTACTTGTATCATCTGTATTTTTATATTTTCAGGTATTTTTGTGGTATTTTGCGGTATTTTTCCTGATTTTAAAATCAGGAAAAATCGTTACCGTGGGTAGCTGTCAACATTAACATCAAGTCTCCCACCTTATTTTTACATAAAAGAAAATGAATGATCTAAGATTATCGAGCGGAATAGATTGATTGATATCTTAGTATATACATGCGACCTTCATTCATTTATTTTTCTCTTCTTACATTCCTTTATTCCTTTCTTCGGCTTCAAGTGATTACCTCAGTTGTCGATGTTTATGACGATGATGGTTCTAACGAAGTTGCTGCTGCTACTACTGCTGATGTTGTCGTTGCTGCTGTTGATGTTGTCGTTGATGTTGTTGTCGCTGTTGTTGATATGTGTTGTTGTTGCTGATGATGTTGTTGTTGGTGTTGTTGTTGCCACATTGTTGTTGCTGTAGTCAATGTCATTAGCATTGCTAACAGCAATTATTCAACTACATAAGATGTTTGTAAAAATAACTTTTATGTAATTTTCGCTCTATGTTTCGGAGAATGATATCCAGGTAGATTTTACTGTTGTTGATGTTAGCGTATTGATGTCAGTATTAATAACGCAGTTGTTGTTAATTATGTTGTTGTTATTAATTGAGTTTATGATGTTATTTGCTGTTAATTGGTGTAAGGATGTTATTGTGGATGTTATGAATCATGATTTTATTTTTTAATAATTTACGTACGAAAAGTTATAGTTTTTTTTCTATTTAGTCATTTTTGTCGAGACAATTTGTTATGTTAAATAGTTTTTTTCAATTTTTCAGAGTTGAATGACGTCAACAAAAAAAACTTTAGCGATGGTAATTTGTATAAATTTTGTTTTTCAACGTTTTAAAAGATGAGATGAATATGATTTAATTTCGCGTGGGGTGGCTGGAAACAATGCTGAATCAATCATTAGCACCTTAATAAGTTTTATATGTTTACACTTATCTCCATTTGTAGGTATGTCCAAATTTTAATTTTCAGTTTTAGTGGGCATGTAAACAAATTTATACTTGAATTATCAAATTTTTGAAACGTGTCAACTCTCTTTAAATCATTTTCGTATTTACTTAGTTAGGAACCGATTTGTTTTGCTATCTTTAATTTTTGTTTAAAACATTTAAATTTTTTTAATTAATTTGCTGTTATTTATTTTATTTAATTTTTTTAATTTTTTTAATTTTTAATTTTTTTGTATAATTCGTAAATGACAATTCATATTTTATATATCTTCTGGAGAACATTCTCTCCGGAACATATGGAGTGAAATACTTATTATCAACATTTAAATTCCATTTAAATGACGTCATTTTTTGTCACATATTTGAGTATTTGTTTTTTTTCACGGTCATCCTCATCATCCATTCTTATTTTTGCACGTTGTATAACTGGCTATCAAGCTAAGTGTTCGGTTGGTTTGTCGATTATTGATCGATTAATGGTTAG